TGTGCCGAAAGAGGGCAGTGGGGCCGAAGTGGGGAGGGTTCTGGATAGAAGCTGGGTGGGCTAGGAAGAAAGAGGCGGTATACAGGGAGTAGAGGCCCTGCAGAGAGCCCAAGAAGGATAGGGGGCCAAGGAACCTCTGAGCTCCCCGTCCCAGGCTGGTGCCGCGGGGCCAGAAACTCACCCCAATGCTGGCTCTCCCGGCGTTGAGAGATCTATGAATTTTCTCAAGTGAAAATATTTTATAATCTGTTACAGTATACACTCTTTATTGTTTAATACTTAAGTCCCATTCTTAGTAAAATTGTGAATTACTGGGTTTTGTTATGTCATTGTTGTGTTTTCTGCTTTTATTATCAACTCTTTTTGAATTGGTAATCAAGGAACACTAGTCAGATTTTGGCTTCCCCAGAAAAATACTCAAAACATTTAAGAAACAATTAGTAAATCTTTGTTTTACACACAGTTTTAATAACTTCAGTCCCGTTGTCTTACAATGGCAAGCAGAACTGCATTTCTCTATTGAAGGGAAGAGGAAGAAGGTAAGATTTGGGATTCTTCCTCCACTTTTTCTCTTTTCATTCCCCACACTACCACTGATGCTATGGGTTAGACCCTACTTAAAGAAACCCATTGAAAAATCCCTGTTTTCAAAATATTCATTCCCCTGAAGGCCTCAATTTTGCAAGTAGTAACTCTGTTTATTTATAAATTAATGCGTAGGCCAGATGGCTCTCTACCTTCTTGCAAACATTAAAGCCATATCCATTCACATGATCCATGAGGAAGAGAATGACAAATAACTTATTCTCAAATGATACTTAGTTATAAACTCATTAAAACAGACTGAAATCGTCTGAGCACATGAGAGAATTCAAAACATGTCAGGTAAACAAAGAGCAGAGCAACCTTATATAGGTCGTTTAGGATTTTTGCAGGCAAACAAAGCTTAAACAAAAGTAGAACTTTTTGCTCTGAACACACACACACACATGTGAGGTGTTGAAGTCCTATTTAGTGTTACTATTGCTGTGATGAAAGTGATGACACACTATGTTTAACACAACTTGGGAGGGAAGAGTTTGTTAGGCTCAACATTTCTTATCAGTGTTTCTTGTTGAAAGAAGTCAGGACAGGAACTCAAATATGGCAGAGACCCCAAGGTAGAGGTGATGCAAAGCCATGGAGTGGTGCTGTTTACTGGCTTGCTCCTCTGGCTTGCTTAGCCTGCTTTCTAATAGAAGCCAGGACCAACCAGGGAAGGCACCGCATATCAATCAACAAATTAAGAAAATACTCTTCAGACTTGCCTACATCATGATCATATGGACACATTTTTTTAAATTGTGGTTCCCTCCTCTCAGTTGACTTTAGCTTGTGTCAAGTTTACACAAAACTATCCATCACACTATGTAAAGAGAGATTAAGAAAAGTATACAAGGATATACACTCAAAAACCTTACAAATTAAATTAAAATGGAAACTTTTAAAATATTCTAATGATGCAGATAAAGTCAAGGAACGAAAACAGAGTAAGAAAACACAAGTTACTCATACACACGTATACACATATACATACACACATACTTAAACACATATATTCAAATGCACACACATACACGTATACATACCACACACATGCATATACACACCACACATTCACACACACCACACACCACAATTAATATAATGACAGACTGAAACACCAAAAATGTTTTGAGGTGAAAGGGGGAGAGGGAATCTCTGAAGAATAGTGACCTAATTCCGATTGCACTTGACTACAATGCGACCTCTGCTAAGACATCACCCAGTACATTACCTTTAAATATGTACCGGAGAATTCTCAAAAAAAAGTCTCTGACCAATGGACTTGGCTTTCTAGCAAGGGTCGTGACTAGTGGGTTATGATGTTGAAAGAGAAGCTTAAAAGTGAGGGCAGGCAAAGGTTTCAGTTACTCTTTCAAAACCACAGGCATTGAATTAATATCTCAGTGCTTCCAGATGGAAAAAGTCTGTACTAGTCCTTTCTACAAAGTGTTAATAAAAAAAAAATGAAAATAAGTATGGGAACAAAAGTTCAGGTTCCTACTTTGTTATGACAGTTTAAGAAACGCGAATGATTCAGACTAGAGAGGGAGGGGGAATGGAGTGGGGGGGAGGGGGAGAGGAATGGGAGGAGGAGGAGGGAAATGGGAGGCGGGGAGGAGGCGGAAATTGTTTCAACAATAAAAAATAAATAAATAAATAAATAAATAAATAAATAAGAAACGCGACTGAGCCCTCTGCTGGTACATTACATCATTGCATCTAAAGATCCAAAGAGGATGATCTTGATTTAAGTTAGGTTTTGTTTTGGTGTTCCCTGGAGGAAGCTGGTTAAACTTCCTTCACAGTAACATGAAGATAAACCTCATCTCCAACCTTTTCTATACTAGAAATAATATGTCATCAATAACATGCCAAGTATGTTGGAAGAAATAAAAATGCTACCATGGAAGAGCGACTCTCAGATCAAAGATCCCGATCTTGGAATGCAGATGCAATTGACTTCTGAATCAAAATAACTTCCAAATCTTTTCACACATTGCTGGGTTTTGTTTATTTGTGGAATATACAAACTGCTTTGAAATATTTTCTACTAAATAAATTCTCAATTTTTTAAATACATTCATTTTATCTGTTTAAAGAAACTTTGATATTTGCAAAATTTTAAAATAAAACAGGCTTTTTTTTTCATACATGTTTAGACAAATGAATGACCAAAACACCATCAGCACGTGGAATAAATAAAAGCCAAGACAGATGAAGTCTTTGTTAGGATTACTAAATACAGTATATACAGTCTGCCATCTTGTGGTCTTGTGCTTAACTTGCCTGGAAAATTGCTGTGATTTAAGTGGTTGGGAATCCTGAACTTTTGTTAAAGAAAACCTGAAAACTGGCCCCTCATTGAGATAATTGACATCACAGTAGGGAACTTCCCTTGCTGTTTTCTCCTCTTCTCTCCCACAGAGATAAACAAACACTGAAGGCTCATTTAGAGTTGGAGGTGGGCTACATCCCCATTATAATAGAGAATTTGGAAGAGTGAACTCAGAATAATATGTGATTGTAGAAGTGGTTCCTTTGTAGTGAAGTAGTAGTGTCTATGTTGAAAAATAATGCAAGTGTAGAATTAATTAACAACACTGTGAATCAGTATTCAATCTAGACATTTGAAAGACCCCATTGTTTTTGACTACACATAAACTGTGAGGACATCATGCTACTGAACTGCTCTAAATCAAGAATCTGAAACATGATATATTTTCAGTTTTATCCATAGTTTCTGTCTTCTACACCCCCCCCCCCCACACACTATGTCTTTGTTCTTTTCTGTGACCAAAAAAATGTCTTACTTTGATATTTATCCCTAGTATAATTCTTTTATTTTTTAATAACCATTGTTGCATTCATAAATATACATGTATTCGATGTTGGCAACCCGGGATGGCAGTGTTTTCCCGACACACACCATAGCACCGACTAGGGTCAACGCTGCACTGCTGAGTACACAAAAGCCCAGCATGACCTGTGATCCTACAAGTGTAGAGAAAAGTAGCCTAGCATTTGCCTCACATTTTGCAGGAATATTTGTCCACTAAAGCTCACTTGGGATTGCAAAAAATTTCCATCTCTGAAATTAAACATGGATTATCTTCATTTCCACTTACAAAGTGTATTAAAAAATAACACAGACTTGAGGACCGTTGCTTGAGAGACATTTTCAGAAGGAAAAAGTAAATTTTTGAAAGAAAAAAAATTATCCCAGCAAAACTAAAAGTGCCAAATATCAGACTTTGTATGTAGCTATGCTACTTGTAATATTTCTTTGATATTCAGACTCACAAGCTTTTGTATCCCATTTGAAACCAGGAAGGTTTGTGGGTTCTAAATAAGGAAATATAGGAGGAACATATCACAACATCATCATCTGTTGTGTTCCATTTTCAGTTTTCTTTGTTTGAAGATATTTGTATACAGAACAATTTATAAGATATATTTTTTTTCTAGTGAAGTAATAGAATAAGGTCAAATAAAACAATGTTTAGGGTATTCAAATAATTTGACAGCATGGTGTTATATGCATTCAGTTATGATGTAAGAAACACAAAAATCTCAGAACTGGATGTTCAGGATGAGGTGAGAAAATAGAGGGACCCTGGAGAAGTGGAAGTGAAGGTCAAGGTACCCAAAGATAGACAGACTGGCTCTCACTTCCCTCACTTCACAGACATGCATGCCGAGACAGGAATGAGTCAGTGAGGCTTTTATACCATTCTTAGCTGAGTAATACCTACAGTTCAAGTGGAGACTTGGTTCATGTTAGGATGGCAAATGGTTTTAATGCTGGATTTAAAAGAAAAAAGAAATTGAAAAGGAAAGCAGAAAAAAATGGGAGAGTTGGAAAACTGAGTTGATTATAAAAATACTTATTTTATGTTACCGATAAAGAACTCAATTAAATTATTAGTTGGATTGTGTCAACCAAAATCACATGTATTAAATTTGGGGCAAATATTTGACTTGCCCTTTAGTTAAATATCAAGGAAGGGCCCAGTGGTGGTTGCGGCAGTAATCCCAGTACTTGGAAAATAGAGGTAGATGGATCTCATCGAGTTTGTGGCCAACCTGGTCTACAGAGTTAATTCCAGGATAGCCAGGGCTGTTGCACAGAGAAACCATGCCTCAACCCCCCAAAACAAACAAACAAACAAAAACAGAAAAACAACACAGATATTTAAAACCGTTTTTACTATAGGATGGAATGGGGAAAGGGATAACATGGAGCATGATCTTAATGAACATACACTGATGCCTATAAAGGATGATTAAAATTTAGCCTCTTGAGCCTGATACAAAAGCAACTGAAATTCAGTGACGATCTTGTGGTACATTAATGTGAAATCAATGATCCTGAAAACATCCTTTGTGTTCACAGCACAGTAGGAAATAGTAGAAGATTATTTTATTTCTGTTTTACACAGACAGGTAGCCTTGCAGAATTTTAGAACTGAAGAATGTGAGCATCCAATAAGGGTCACTTGCTTATCACAGTTATTGTATTCGTCGTAGTAACGGCAGGGGTTTGCTGGAAAAAAAAAGTAGAACAGTACACAACATTGTGTTTAAAACAGTGGCAACCATTGAGGAAAGGCATTATCTTCCCAAGAGGCAAAGACAAATATTCTATATAGTAAAGGATTAACTTGCTTAAGGTGAGCTGATTAGATGTGAATGCAAAAGAATTGAGTTGAATCAAATTCTTTTGAAATAACGGACCAATTCTTCTCATGACACAAAGCAGTTTTATTCAATCTCAATTTTTAAACCTGGTTACACTACACCTCAAAAAACCAGAAATGAATAATCTTTTCAATTACTTTGCCATTTTGAGACCAATAATGCCATTACAGAAAATAAAGCAATAAATTTCAGTCATTTTAAAAAATGGTTTTGTAATTTATCCTTGAAGGATTTAGGTGGTCAAGAGGACACAAAAAAGGCTTCCAGCCAAGTCTCTCTAAAGACATATCAGTTTCAGTGGCAAAACTGAAACTGTTCTCTCGAGAAATTCATCAGCAGAGAGATCTCACCTATTTTATAGCATAATAGAAAAAGAATTTCAAATTAATGAAAGAATTGCCATCATAACTCCCTTCCCAATATGAAGAAATACAGAATAAGGAGATCCTCTCTAAGCTCCGGTCATAGACCTGGAATCCTATATGAGACTCAACACAGAAAATGTCAGAATCAGAGAGAACCAGCCCCTCCTACAATGTCATTGCTCATGAACTGAGCCTTTAGCTCTGTGTTAGCCTTGCCATTATGACCTTCCTCCACCAGTGCTCTGATGTGGAAAAGACACCATTCACTCTTACTCTAGATAAAGTAATAATGTCTAAGAAGAGGAAAGCATGAACATAGTTGAGCATATACTTTTGTTGTATGATAGGGCCTCTCTTGGGTATATTCCCAAGAGTGGTATTGCTGGATCCAGGGGTAGGTTGATCCCGAATTTCCTGAGAAACCGAAACACTGCTTTCCAGAGTGGTTGCACAAGTTTGCATTCCAACCAGCAATGGGTGAGTGTACCCCTTTCTCCACAACCTCTGCAGCAAAGGCTATCATTGGTGTTTTCTATTTTAGCCATTCTGACAGGTGTAAGATGGTATCTTAAAGTTGTCTCATTGTTTGTAATAGCCAGAACCTGGAAACAACCTAGATGCCCTTCAACGGAAGAATGGATGAAGAAAGTATGGAATATATACATATTAGAGTATTACTCAGCAGTAAAAAACAAGGACTTCTTGAATTTTGCATACAAATGGAAGGAAATAGAAAACACTATCTTGAGGGAGGTAAGCCAGACCCAAAAAGAGGACCATGGGATGTACTCACTCATATTTGGTTTCTAGCCATAAATAAAGGACATTGAGCTTATAATTCATGTTCCTAGAGAAGCTAAATAAGAAGGTGAATCCAAAGACAAACACACAGGCATCCTCATAAATATTAATCTTCATCAGGCGATGAAAGGAGACAGAGACCCACATGGGAGCACCGGACAGAAATCTCAAGGTCCAAATCAGGAGCAGAAGGAGACGGAGCACGAGCAAGGAACTCAGGACCACGAGGGGTGCACCCACACACTGAGACAATGGGGATGTTCTATCGGGAACTCACCAAGGCCAGCTGGACTGGGTCTGAAAAAGCATGGGATAAATCTGGACTAGCTGAACATAGCGGACAATGAGAAATACAGAGAACTCAAGAACAATGGCAATGGGTTTTTGATCCTACTGCACGTACTGGCTTTGTGGGAGCCTAGGCAGTTTGGATGCTCACCTTAGGAGACCTGGATAGAGGTGGGCGGTCCTTGGGCTTCCCACAGGTCAGGGAACCCTGATTGCTCTTTGAGCAGATGAGGGAGGGGGACTTGATCGGGGGAGGGTGAGGGAAATGGGAAGCGGTTGCGGGGAGGAGGCAGAAATCCTTAATAAATAAATAAATTAAAAAAAAAGAAGAGGAAAGCACTCCACATAAAACTAGTAATTAGTAACAATGCTTTGGAAGTTATGGAATAAGTGAAAATTATGTAAACTGTTTAGAAATAGCCAATTGAATGAGAAAGAAATCAAGGAATCATGTTACTCCTATCAGTATTATGATTTATCATGGATTAAATTTTGTAATTTAAAATATTTAAAAATTTCAAACTTACGTTATGTATTTATACTCTTTCCTCTTTATCATCCATATCTATCAGTATTTCTCTATCTCAATAGTTAATTGATGACATGTTATTTAAATGTTATATCTATATCAAGGCTTAGATAACCTATCCAAAAGCTCATTCTTGAAGAAACTGATTCTTCCTTTTTAAGCAAACAGCAATTGTCTGTATCTCTTTGTCTGGAGGTGGAGCCTATGCGAGTTGGATCTGGTTTTCTCACTGTGCACTGCTTGTGGTGACTTGATTGTTGGTTTTTCATGGGTATGTAGTTTCTCAATGGCTTACAGAATACATTATAGCTACAAAGATGTCCTGGTCCCTCAGCTTTTATACTTCTTTTGTCTCCCTCCTCTGTGATTCTTTCTTAGCTTTAGGTATAGGGAGTGTGTTATAGATGCATCAAATGGGGATGTGCACCCAAAGATAAGTTGTTCTTCTCAGTTTGACCAGTTGTGGGACTCTGTAATAATCTTCATCTCCTGAAGAAAGAGGCTTCTTAGTTGAGCAGTGAGGATCAGTGCTGAGAATCTAGCTAGAAATGATTATAATTGGATTATAAAAGTGACAGTAGTAGGTTATGTTCAAGGCCAATAACCAAATCCATGGGTATTTATGGTTTATAGTATCATGTATGCATTTCCTCCTATTAGAAGGTGTAGGTCCATTTGAATGGAGGGAGCATGGGTTCTACTCTCTTCATTTCGCTTGACTCCAGCTAGGAGCTGACAGGAAAGTTTGAAAAAAAGGTAGCCTCAGGAAACTGCATTTTCAAAACTGTTAAAGGTCTGTAAAAATAAATGAGCAGGCCAGGCGATGGTGGTGCACGCCTTTAATCCCAGCACTCGGGAGGCAGAGGCAGGCAGATCTCTGTGAGTTCGAGACCAGCCTGGTCTACAGAGCTAGTTCCAAGACAGGATCCAAAAACCACAGAGAAACCCTGTCTTGAAAAACCAAAAAAAAAAAAAAAAAATGAGCAGGATAAATATGTTTATTTTTCCATTTCACATTTTTTGCTGTAAAAATAAGCATAAACTAATATATGACATAAAATATGTTTCCTTATGGTGTTCTTGGACATCCTTAGTGTTATATGTCACCCATTCCTCCTTCTCTGTATGAATTTCTTTCCCTTTCCTATTCCTAATTATAGTCTCTTTTCTACTTTTTTCCATTTTCCCTCTCAGAGGGTCTGAACCCTACTATACCCTTTTCTAAAGCTCCAACACTACACCGTGGTCTCTCCTTATTTTCCTGGTTTCTGCAGGTTACTCTAGGTTACATACTTGCGTCCAAAAATTTAGAGGTAAGATCCACAATAAGAGAGAAGATGTGGCATTTGCTTTCTGGGCCTGGGTTACCTCGGTCAATATCATATTTTCCAGTTTGATCTATTTCCTTGAAAATATCTTGACTTCATGTTTTTCACCAGCTGAACGGAATTCCATTGTGTATAGATGTAGTGTAATTTAATCATCCATTAATCTGTTGAAGAGCATTTATGCTGTTTCCTTTTTCTAGATTTGTGAATAGAATGGGAATGATCATTGCTGGTAAGTTCTCTTGAAGAAGGGTGTCAGCTCCGGTGGGCCTATGCTAAGAAGTATTCTAGTTGAATGGCAAGATAGATCTGTTTTAATTTTTTTTTTTGAGAATTCTCCACACTAGTTTTAATAGTTACTATACCAGCTTCCACTTTCACTAACAGTGACCGGGTTTTCCCATTGCCCTTCACCCTCATCGATATTCGTTATCACTTATTTTCTTGATCTCATCATTCTGACTGTGGTAAAAGCAGATCTTAGTATACCTCTTATTTGCATTTCCTCACTTTCTAAGGGTGTTGAACATTTCAAAAAGGAAACATTTTCCCTTTTTAAATTTTTTTTCTTTTGAGAATTTTTTTTTCAGTGACATCATCTATTTTTAATTGAGTCATTTGCTTTCTTGACTCTTGTTTTGTTGGTCTTTGTATATTCTGAGTAGTGAAGCTCTATCACAAGTACATACAACAATGAACTGTCTTGCTTTTGGATTTCTTTTCATTGTCTTGATTCTGGGAAGTGGCTGTGTTGACAACTCCATGATGGAAATCACTCAATCAGATTCTTTACCATGCAGCAGCTATTCAGTACTCTCACCATTTGTCAGTTGATGACCTTATTTTATAAGTGAATGGAGTCTTAGTCACAGGGGCCTTCATCTCACCTACATCCTGGAAGGCATTGATTATGCCTTCTCTGTAATTTCAGTGTTTCAGGTCTCACATTGCTCTATTTGATCCATTTGGAGTTGATTTTTCTGTCGGATGATAGATACGAAACTAATTTCATTATTTTAATGTGAACATACAATTTCCTGAGCACAGTTTGTTGAAAATGTTGCCTTTTCCTAGTATGTATTTTTGACATCTTCGTTCAATCTTCTTTCATGATTGAAATGCCACCTGAGTAATGTACATATAGAAGTAAGCTCTTTCTGTAATAAAGCCATTTATAATGAGCCAATAACTAACATCATGCTGAATATCAAAGGTAGATGATTTCTCTCTGAGATGTGGAACATTACAAGAATGATCACTGTCATGCCTTTTGTTGAACACATTGGTAGAAATCCTAACTGAAGCAGTGAGGCAAGATAATGAAATGAATGTTTTTTCTAAATTGGAAAAATAGCTAGCCAAATTGTCACGGTCAGAAGATGACATTGTCTTATACAAAGAAATGGACAGAGAGCCTGCCAAAATTAAGAAAATTTAAATTAGTTCAATAAACTGGTTGCAGTAAATCAAAGCAGCATTTAAAATATGGAGCATAATGTATGTAACAGCAATGAGTGAAATAAAAATTAAGAAAACAATTTCACTCATAAAACACATAAAATTATACAGCAATTAATTCACTCAAAGTAGTGACATATCTGTTATGAAATAAAAGCACACAAAGCAGGAAGAAAACCTGTGCCTTGTATTGGAAGAATCAATATTTGTGAAATGCCATTCTCTGGGTCCCACCACTAGACGAAGAACTCCAGACAACAAATGACTACTCAGAGAACGAGAATTAGTGTCTCAGAGGGATGAGATGGCTTAGTGAGTGTTCGATGCAGGGTGGTCAGCCTTGAAAGCACACGACCTTCAGAAATGGACTCAGGGTTGTATTTATGTATTTGTGGACATTTTTAACAATAATAGATTAAAGAGGCTAGCAACTTGAGAGTGAAGAGACGTGCCGATTAGTGGCTGTTAAGTAGTAGCAATTAAACAGAACCGAGAGAGGTAAATGTGTTATTGGTGTCTATACATGATAGCATACTGCATACTTTTTAAAAAGTGGAATGGTGAACAATGTTCCAAAATCACACATTTTTGAAAAATAACAGATATGACTACCCTGATCTAAAAATGTATAATATTTACCTGTCAGAATATGACCATAACTTCTACATATTCAACTTTCATATGTTAATTAGAAAAAAATCAGAATTTACACAGGCACTGAAGGAAAAATTGTTATAGAATGTTGCATCAGATAACTTCCCAGCAAATAAAAAAGAATAAGGTTCAGCCTAAAGAAAATTCCACCCTGATGTGTATTCAGGCAAGTTGGGGGCAGCAAGCATTTTGGAGAGACTGGTAAACTGAAAGCAATATGCATAATTTGTGGTCAACAATAAGGTATCCAAGGAATTGTCTAGGGACAGCAATCACACATAAATATTAGGGTCACTCTACCACATAATTTTAAATTGTTGGAAGGTACCCTGAGTTTCATAGCAAGGTATTCCAATTTTTCATTCACTCCAATAATGAGGTCAAAGAGATTTGCTTACACTGGATATGAAAGAAAAAAAAGTAGAAACAATGTAGATATATCTGTGGTAATACTGAGCTGAAAATTATAGAAATATAGATTATAGTTAAGCATAACCTAAAGCATACATGGTCACCATATCAATATGATCAATATGCCAACTTTAAGCAACCCAAGTTGAAGATCAAAAACAACTCACTGCATAGTCCATCTTCACAGTGATTTGGACAGTCTCCACATGGCGAGCCTTCCTTATAAGGCATATTTAGCAAGTCGGGATTATTTCTCCTTTACAAAAGAAAAGGAAGTGGAGGTATAATGAAAACTATCACTGGAAAATATTTATAAACTTATGTTCACTGTTAACTGCTAATCAATAGATAATTCATTTAAGCATGTTTGTAAATAAACAGAGTTAATATTTACGATAAATTTATGCATGAGTATTGCCTTTGCAATAAACCATCCGCAGTTCTGTTTATTTGTAGTTGTTGTTTCTTTATCTCTGAACAGTTGTGTGCTCACAGGACTCAGGACATTTGTACAGTCAAGACTTGAAAGTGGCGCTTTAAGGTGCTGTCTTGTATTTTGTTTTGTTTTGTTTGTTTTGTTTTAATTTTCACAAGAACTTGGGAAAGTGTTTTGGAAGATGTATGGTCCTTAATAGTGTTAAGGAAAAAATACACAATTTATTTGCATTGGATCTTTTTGTTAAATCTCATTTTAACCAGTGATGAAAAGCATGCCACTTCTTATTGTGTCTTATAGATACACTCTCTATAAAAATCACAAAAGCATTAAGCATGGATAAAACTAAAGAAAGTACTGGGTGTAGGAAACAGTATAGAAGGAAATTAATAGTTGTGTAATTGTTGAAACTTCAGAAAATGAAAAAAAATTCTTACTTATCAATATCGAAATGTTGTTTTGATAATATGTAGTTCTTAATTAGTGCCACTTATAAAGTTACATCAAGACACAATGATGTATATATCTCTACTTTGTAATCTATGAATATACCAGGGTATAGTAAGTTCTATTTTAAATGTAAATAAGGTCCACCTTTTAAGGCTCATGCTCAAGGACATACTAGGTGTCTCACTGTTCTTTTCACATACATGCTCTACTTAGATACCACAGTTTTGGTCTAAATAATAATACAGATAAAAGAAGCATGAGGAGCTGTTATCATCTTTTATCAGCAACAGTCATTTCAAATTCTCAGTCAAAGTCAAATATCCTAGGTGTTTGCCCAGACTTGAAGAACCTTCGTCTCCTACTGTTCTCCTTTAGAGTCACAGCAGTAGGCCTTCATAGTCATCATTACCATTATGGACCCTGCTGTATAACAGCGTTTGAGAAGATAAGCTTGTGCATCTCCTCACTGAAGTTACTGAGTTATATGTTCTACAATTTGTCCCTAGTACCTATGATAGCAGCATTTAGAATACACAAATTCACTTTAAAAAATGATTTATTTTAGTTTTGTGATTGTGTGTGCATGTATGTGAGTATAATGTTTGTATGTATGCAATGGATATATGAATGCAATGTTTGTTTGTTTGTTTGTATGAACATGGTCAGTGGAAGATAGAAGAGTCCATAGAATCCCCCGAAGCTAGAGTTATGGGCAGTCCTAAGACTTCAGTTTTTGGGTACTGCATGAGAAGCAAGTTCTCCTAATCACTCTCCTGTGCCATGTAAATTTCATTTCTAAGAGAAATGCATAGGTTAACACTGGGACCAGAAGATTGTACGCAGGGGTCTGGGTGCCTCTGAATATCCTTGCTTTTTTTGCCTACAGCTCAAATTCACTTCCCTGTGGGACACCTTTCCAGTGAATACCGATAAATTGTCTGAATGTTTGTGTTTTTTCCTAAGTTTATTTGTAAAATCATGATGAAAAATGAAGGGCTGTAGGTGTATTTATGACATTTTGCTGACAACCTAACTGAAAAAGAACTATCAGAACACTAATTTATGATGCTTGAAACATTAGACAAGATTTTAAGAAGTTAATATATTTAAAAGCAATAATAAACTGGTATTACATACTCATGACAATAGTGACACACATAGAGATATATAGGTGCCTTTTGTCTGCGACATGATGCGACATCACAGCCAATGAGGTAAGAAGAGGCCCAGACCATCTGTAAAGATAAGAGATAACTTTATGCTGGTATTAATGATGTACATCTTTAATTCCAGCACTCGTGGGGCATTGAGCTGAACAGAGAATTCTCAACAGAAGAACTTCAAATGGCCAAAAGACACTTAAGGTCATGCTCAACTTCCTTAGCGATCAGGGAAATGCAAAACAAGACAACTTTAAGATACCATCTTACACCTGCCAGAATGGCTAAAATAAAAGTCACCAATGATAGCCTTTGCTGGAGAGGTTGTGGAGAAAGGGGTACACTCACCCATTGCTGGTGGGAATGCAAACTTGTGCAACCACTCTGGAAAGCAGTGTTTCGGTTTCTCAGGAAATTCGGGATCAACCTACCCCTGGATCCAGCAATATACCCAAGAGAATATACCCAAGAGAGGCCCTATCATACAACAAAATTATATGCTCAACTATGTTCATGGCAGCATTGTTTGTAATAGCCAGAACCTGGAAACAACCTAGATGCCCTTCAACGGAAGAATGGATGAAGAAAGTATGGAATATATACATATTAGAGTATTACTCAGCAGTAAAAAACAAGGACTTCTTGAATTTTGCATACAAATGGATGGAAATAGAAAACACTATTCTGAGTGAGGTAAGCCAGACCCAAAAAGAGGAACATGGGATGTACTCCCTCATATTTGGTTTCTAGCCATAAATAAAGGACATTGAGCTTATAATTCATGTTCCTAGAGAAGCTAAATAAGAAGGTGAATCCAAAAGCAAAACACATAGGCATCCTCATAAATATTAACCTTCATCAGGCGATGAAAGGAGACAGAGACAGAGACCCACATGGGAGCACCGGACAGAAATCTCAAGGTCCAAATCAGGAGCAGAAGGAGACGGAGCACGAGCAAGGAACTCAGGACCACGAGGCGTGCACCCACACACTGAGACAATGGGGATGTTCTATTGGGAACTCACCAAGGCCAGCTGGCCTAGGTCTGAAAAAGCATGGGATAAATCCGGACTAGCTGAACATAGCGGACAATGAGAAATACAGAGAACTCAAGAACAATGGCAATGGGTTTTTGATCCTACTGCACGTACTGGCTTTGTGGGATCCTAGGCAGTTTGGATGCTCACCTTATGAGACCTGGATAGAGGTGGGCGGTCCTTGGGCTTCCCACAGGTCAGGGAACCATGATTGCTCTTTGAGCAGATGAGGGAGGGGGACTTGATCGGGGGAGGGGGAGGGAAATGGGAAGCGGTTTTGGGGAGGAGGAAGAAATATGAATGTCCAATAGATCTTTGGGCAAAAAAATGCTCAACGTATTTAGCCATTAGAGAAATTTAATCAACATGTCAGGAAGATTTCACATCACTATCACTACTGTCAAAATAACTGACTTCTAGGAAAATTAAAAGGACAAACGTTGATGATGTGGGAAGAGAAGTCTCTTACCTAGTGCTGGTAGAAACATACAGCAGGCCTCCTCTGTGGAAATCAGTACGGAGCTACCTAAAGTATTAGAAGTAGAACTTCCATAGGGCCCAGCTTTATCCTTTCTGGGTGTAGTAGGAAGAAATCAAAATCAGCTTAAAACAGAGACATGTGCACACGTAAGTTTACTGCTGTTTCATTTACAACAGCCAAGTTAGCATAGGTAGCTATCAATAGATGAATGTATTAGATCTAATAGAGAGTTTTGTTCAGCCATATGGAACAATAAAACGTGCCATTTTCAGGGAAATAGAGCTGTGGATCTTGATATTGAGTGAACAAAGGCCATCTAATGAAGTCCTGTTTCAGATTTTTCTCTCATATCTGAAGTCCTCAGGTTAAAAAGACAGGGCATCCCTATCTTTGACTCCTTTGCTCATATTATCACTCCTTCCTCTATTTGAACTTTGGGAGTTCAGCCAAGTGGTTCACCGTGGATCTCGGCATCTGCCTTGTCCTCTCTGAAGAGTGGATGGGGGTAAGGTGGAGGGAAGCTCGGGAGACTGGAAGAAGGAGAAATAGTAGGAACTGCGATTGGTATGTAAAATGATAAAGATTGTTTTGTTTTCAGTTTTGTTTTTTAAGAAGTAAATAAATACATTTAAATTATATCGGAGACCCTCTGGCAAAAATCAGCTGGAGACACCCTGGGAAGAGATGCTGAGCCTGAGGAAATGCTAGATTAAGAGAAATGAAGACAGAAACATAAGATACACTGGAAGGACTGAAAGTTAATATCAAAGAGCCCGAGTTTATTTCTCAGATAGCATTTATATCAATTGCAAGCAAAAGGGCAGAGCAAAGAACAGTGCAGTCCACCTCCCTGCCCTGCCCTTGGGAGGAAGCTCAAGCAGGTGCATTATCTCATTCCGTTAAGCAGTTTCTGATTTCTAACAAGGAGTGCCTCCAGCTGGCATGTGCCAGCCCAAATCTTAATAGAAAAAAAAAATGTGCTCTTTCATCTGGGCGAAAATGCTCTTTCTATGGGCTAACACAGACGTTACTCACAGCCCTCAAGTTTACTGGGAAAAGCAGAGCACAATAGCATGAACTCAAATGTCTTCTTTATGTCAGAAATGACTCCAGATGGAAACCAGGCGGTGGTACACGCCTTTAATCCCAACACTCAAGAGGCAGAAGAAGGCAGATCTTGATGAATTTAAGACTAGTCTAGCTTGCAGAGTTAGCCAAGGCTACACACACACACACACACACACACACACACACACACACACCCTGTCTCCCAAAACCAAAACCCAAACCAGACCAAACCAAAACAAACAACAAAGAAAATGAGCAAACAAACAAAAAAGCTAAGTTAACTGAGTTGGGAAATTGTTCAGTAGACAAAACATATGCCTTTTCTACATGAAGCTCAGAGTTCCGATTTCCAGAATCCATATAAAGACTCCGGCAAGCGTGTTGTCCACTTACAGTTGTAGTGCTTGCCATTTAGTTTTATTAAATCATAAAAAATAAACAAAATATGTGTGCTGCAAACATCAGACATGAGATCCATATCTATATCATTTCTGCCCCCACTTCAAGTTCCTTCATGAACCCCTCATTCCTTCTTTAATAACAATTATTGTTACATATTCTTTTTTAAAAAATATTTATTTATTATGTATACAATAGTCTATCTGCATGTATGTCTACAGGCCAGAAGAGGCCACCAGACCTCATTACAGATGGTTGCGAGTCACCATGTGGTTGCTGGGAATTGAACTCAGAACCTTTGGAAGAGCAGGCAATGCTCTTAACCACTGAGCCATCTCTCCAGCCCCTGTTACATATTCTTTAATAATCATTATTGTTACATAAATATCTAGATATGTACCCATTGTATATTCAGTCTACTAAGTTCATTTGGCATGGCTCATATGTAGACATGTATAGGGGCTGACACTGTCTTTTTCTCAGCAACCAGAGATCAGCTGGCACTTGTCACCTAAGAGGTGGGACCACATGGAATTTCCTCTGCCTGCAGTGACACAGTAAATGGTGTTTTCATTGTTCTGGTCACGTTCAGGCAATTGTATTGTTCGGATTTCAAGGGCCATTTCCCTTAGCCTGAGAGGAGAACCAGTACTTATCTTTGACCCACATGTACATCCACTTATGGTTGTATCTGAAAGGTTATAGATTACCTGAGTGTAATGACTTGTTTCAAAGTCATCGTCTGAAGATGGCCATTCTCCATATGTGAAGTATTTGGATTCATTGTACCACATTTCTACTACTTTTGACCAGGAGTAGGGGTAACGTCCCAAGTGCATATTTTCTCCACAAAATGTATCTGAAAAGGAAGGAAATGACTATATAATGTTGTTTTCTTTTTTCTTTTTTTCTCTCTATATTTCTGGTTTTTCGGAGACAGGGTTTTCTCTGTGTAGTTCTGGCTGTTCCAGAGTTCACTTGGTAGACCAGGCTGGCCTTGAACTCACAGAGATCCACTTGCCTCTACCTTTTGAGTGCTGAGATTAAAGGCATGCAGCACCACACCCAGCTATAATAATCTTTAAAAATAGAATACATTTTTTCCTCATTTTCTTTCACAAATGTTTTAATGATCATCTAGGCACCAATTTATAATTGAAAATTATAGTTGTTTCTCTGCTGAAAAATCTTCATTCTTGTTGCATGAGCATGTGGTGCTCAAGAAAAATTGGTAATAGATGATGAGAAAGCTTTAAATGATAACTGCTCTCTCTTTCTCTCTGTTCTCTCTCTCTGTCTATGTCTCTCTCTCTCTCTCTCTCTCTCTCTCTCTGTGTGTGTGTGTGTGTGTGTGTGTGTGTGTTGATTTGTTTGAGACAGGGATTCTCTGTATAACAATCCTGGCTGTCATAGAACTTCTTTGTAGGCCAGGCTGGCCTCGAACTCACAGAGATCTACCTGCTTCTGCTTCTTAAGTGCTGGGATTAAAGGCATTTACTAAAACCACACAAAGACTACAGATATGTAAATCTCTGTCTCTTGTCAGGCAAAGAAGGGTGGGAAAAGTCTGCATGAGCTCTTTTGCAAGCAGTTACAAAGAGGGCTCACAATCTCAAAAAAAATATTGGTTCCAATTGCCGTGCATTCTCTGGGTGGGTTATGGTATTGAGAAATATTCTGCCTTTCTCAAGAATACAAAGATCCCCCCATTGCCAACAAACTGCTCAACACCTTAGCATAAGAGTTCCAATAATCTTTAGACATAAAGTCGTACTTTTAAATGTTAGTTGGGAAGAAAGCAATGCATACAGTTTTATATAATTCTGTACAATGCACTAAAAATTGTATCATAATTATTTAATTTATTTGACAAGACCAAGTCCACTTTTGAACACTCCAAATTGTTCCTCTGGGTAGTTCTATAGTTGCCTATAACTCAGTACTTAGCTGTGTTAATGTTCTAAAGCCAAGTAAATCCCCATTCTGATGTTATAAACAACTGAGATAACATTGGAAGGAAAACTCCTAGGTATCCAGATGCATGGAATCCTTAAACAGTGCTGGTCATCATTCCTTTCTCCTGTTGATCAGAACATAAATTCTAAACCCAAGGATCTCCACATGTTAAAAATGATAAAGAATGATATGGTAAATCAGGCTACAATCCACCGTCAAGGACAGGTGTCAGTGTAGAGTGAGTCTGTTAACTTACTATTGTCAAATTGCTTGCATCTGTGAGGTTTTGGGGGAGCTTTTTCTTCATTCAAATTTTTGTTTGTTTATTTAAAGGTAGTTTGTGTCTAACATGCATGACAAAGTCTCACGTGTTGAGGACTTGTTCTTTGGATGCAGGTAGTTTTGTGAGGTTGTAGAAGCTTTGAGACATGGAGCCTAAACAGCAGGGTTGGGTCTTTCAAGGCATTCATGCCAAGTGTATACTTCCTAACTTAATTCTTTCTGTTCTATCTTGTTTGGTTGCAATTGAGGTGAGCAGCTTTCTCTACTGTAACTCCAGCATGTTATTTGGTCTCAGTTCAGTCCCAAATCGCTCCAACTAAAAATCATGGGCTGAACCTTTGGGAGTCGTCCAATAAAAACCAACCTCCTCATTTTTAAGTGCTTTCTTCAGGAGTTTCCCCAGGGTTGGAAACGCTGGTTAATACAAGTCGTGCAATAGAGACGCATACATACTGTTAAGTCTTCTCTCAAGTGGGTCGCTCGTGGACGTGTCACAGTAGCGCGCCAGGATTCTCGCATTTGCTGCAGCTGCGGGACTCCAACTCTGTGAGGCAAGAAAGAAGAGGAAAGTCCGGAAACCAACTGAAATTAGCATTCACCAACTTTTAAAAATACAGGGCTTGTGACACCGTCTCTTGGAGAAACTGACCTCTTGCATAGTTTCGTTTGTATTAAACAATCTAGAAGGAACACAAAGGAGATAAATGTGCACTTCCTTTTAGATTCCTGGGAAACCGCAAGTTCATAGTTAGCTCATAACATTCAGATCACAGCACATTTCTTAGAGTATGGCTGAATAATTTCAGAAAGGCAGATCAATAATTAGAAAGCTATCCCAGTAATTGCTCAGCTACTTTGCTGTTGCTTGGTTAGTCTGTGTCAACTTGAGACAAACTAGAATCACCTGTAAAGGGGGAACCTTACCTGAGGGAGTGCTTCCATCATCTTGGCCCCATGAGCAAGTCATTGGGGAGCATTTCGTGATTAATAATGGATAACTTCTAATATGTGATCCTGTGTGTCATCAGAAAGCAGGCTGGGGAAACCATGAAAGGTAAACCAGTAAAAGGCTATCTTCTATGGCCTCTGATTCATTCCATGGCCTGTCTTTTCTCAATGACGTGTTGTGATCTGGAGTACTAGGCCAGATCACCTCTTTCCCCCACATGTTCCTTTGGGTCAGTGTTTTTATCACAGAGAAACAAGCGGGCACAACTCTAAGCATGTCATTTTCGCCTTTGAATCTCAGTTGCTGTAAAGATGATGAAGTCATGCCAAAAGCTTTATACAGCAGACTTAGTGTGATGATCCTTACACCAAAGTTGTTCTATTCTGAGTCTCACTGTATGTGCTCGCCAAACAAATTATCTCTGTGAACAAAGCAGTTACCCATCTCTGCCTCAAATTATGATGAAAACGAAGGAGCAGTTGATGTCACTAGAACCTATTACTGTGTTATTCCTATTCTTCCTTGCAGCAGCTAAAATCAGGCAGTAATGCTGTCTCTATATGTGAGGTAAGAGGAAGCACAGAGTTTTAAAGCTTTGAAGGATCACACGATAGAGAATTTGAGCCAATTACCCTCGTGGGCTCAGAACGCTTCATGTCGGTGGGATAAGGATAGTATGTACTAAGGTGAAACATTTTATTACATACAGCTCAGAAACAGCTGGGTGGGAGTAGCTGTGACATTCTGAAAATCTCACTACCAGCATTTTCATAGTCTGCTCCTGTGACACGCTGTCAATCACAATTACAGGGTGTTTTAACCACAGACTTTTGAGTTAAATCCTCTAAAAATGTAAGGACATCTACAATTTTTTGAACTCAGTTTCCTCTGCGTCTGTGTTTGGGTTTGCTGTGATGAGCAGAGTTTTAGTAATAAACCATGGTCCCTGGACTTTATAGCAATGTAGGGAACAACATTAGCTTTATTGCAAACCCTCTTCAGAGTAGAGGCCAATCTGCTTCAAATTCGGGGAATGATTAACTGTGTGCGTATACTCCCATCTAGTGGCTATTTCATAGAATTACTCTTCAGATCGAGTTAGTTCAAAGCACAGGATTTCCCATACTTTAAGTAAGAAAGTCTTTCATGTCTGTGTCTAACTGAGCAACTTGAGAAGGCCAAAAGAATAACTTTTTTTTTAATAAGACTTCTCAATCCAGAGGCCTTCTTAGCTGTAGTTATTTTTTTTTTCATTTTGGGAGAAAAGAATTTGGATAACTTAAAATAGCTAAGGTCCCTGGGGGATGGATAACCCTTTTACAATAAGGAATTGAAATAAGATAAATTATATTTGAGACTCTTTAAAATGTATTCAACTGTAGGTGGAAACTTTATTAAAGTAGTTTAAGAAATTATAAGATTCCCTTTTCTGAAGCACAGTAGATTTGAACTCACATGTGATTGGCTGAAGAACATTTATTAGCAGTAACAAATGCCGTTTTTAATGTTAAACCAACATGAATACCTACTGATGTTTTTAAAATTGTGTTGTTTCACAAGTAATACTGTTAATTTTTAAAGTGGTCCAGAGATGAATTTTCAAAACCCACATCTCCCGTCTCCTGTTGCTCATCCTCCATCATTTACAAGAGGCTACTGTTGATCTGGATCAGCTTCTAGAACAGCGGTTCTCAACCTTCCTAAGGCTGTCACCCTTTAATATTGGTCCTCTTGCTGTGGTGACCCCCAAACATAAAATTATTGTGTTACTACTTCATAACTGTAATTTGGTACTGTTCTGAATCATAATGTAAATATCTGATACGAGGAAATCTGATTTATGAACCACAGGTGAAGGATTGCTTTTCTAGGGCCTGCACTCTATCTGAACTTTATTCTTGAATGTCCTGGGTCCAAGGATACTGGACGAGTTCCCTAAAGTTCTCTTGTCATAGAACCCGCCAGATTTTGCACTGCAAAGCCAGGCTCCTAAATTTCCATGGAGTTCAGTAAAATTCGCTAGTAGATTTTTTTTGAATGTTTGTTTAACTAGTGTGTGTGTGTGTGTGTGTGTGTGTGTGTGTGTGTGTGTGTTGGGGGGCGGCTCAACTAGCTTTGAATTTGGACATCCCAATTCTAAAATACATGTCACATGTCTGAAGGTGCCCAGGAGTGCAGCTGGGCTGAGTCAGATTGTGGCTCTATCCTGTAGCAAGGATGACTCTGGAGAAGTTATTTATATTTGCTTGAACTCAGTTTCTCCTCCTGTTATGTCACAGATTTGCGGTGATGATCAAGCATTTGGCGTGGTCACAGTTCACAGGACTATATATAACAATGTAGTGAGCACCGTCAGTGTCTCTGCCATCCCCGGTGACTTTGGACTTACCATCTTCAGCATGTTCTTGGCAGGTGGAGACACTTTCCTCCTGAAAGCATTGTGAGCATTGACAATTTCTTCTTGTGGATCGGTTTGTGATTCCGTGATCAGTTTATTATAGAGAGCTCTATGATGTTTGTGGTGCTAACAGAAAATTATTAATTAGTATCACATCAATTAGAACTTACAGTGAATAAACAATAATGTTCAGAGTTCAGGAACTATTAATAGTCATGCTTCAAGGATTTCTAAGTTCTCGTCTTGAAAACAGTACAAAACTATGCTGTTCCTAGAGATTTTCAAATTTATGATTCACACTTTCAAGTCCTATAGAAGTTCTTGTTATTGGCTGTGGTTTGGCACTACTTGTTCACTGACTGCCTGAGCTCATTCTCCATACAGCAACTAAAAGCAGTACCTATACTCCCCAGATGAACCATGTGCACTTCCACCATTGTCAAAGTGAGCGTGTGTGTAAGAACCAAAACTGAGAGTGTATTTTGAGAGTGTGGCTAAGTGTTCTTTTCACTCCGGCTCTATATCGTTTTGTTTATATGTAAGATCACCAGTGTCTACAAGCACATGAATTAAAAAGTATAAGTGAAATTCACTCACTTTGCAGCTTAGAATGCGTAACTCCTTTTTATAAAAGTTATTCCTTTTATTTTCTAATTAAATAATAAAGAAAAATGTTTTCCAAAGAGCCTATATTAGTATAAGTAGTCATAAAGGGTATCTTTTTATATGTGTGGTTTATAACACTCATACTTCAGACATTTTTTATCAGTTATTAAAAATAATGCTGTATAATTTGAGTGCTATGTTTCTTTCTTGGCTACCACAGGACTATTGAGATAAATTTAGGAATGGTCAGAATCCAGAATTGTCATTTGCGTCAAGAGAAGACATTTCTGTGTATTGCAGACACTACCTCCTTTCTCAGGAGCCTACTTACAAAATGTGTTCCTCTCTCATTGCAATCAGCTATGGTCTACACCAAAGAAAGGTCTGGAGACTCACAAGAATCCACAAATATCATTAAAATATTCCTTATTCCCTTGAGCATTTTATTTTAATGAAACATATTACATTTGCCTCTTTCGGGTCACCTCCAAACATTTGAAACCTCTATAATAAATGAATAAAGCAATGTCTATTTTCCTGATACTTTGTTTCATTTACTTTTATGGCAACTGACCCTCTGTAGTAGTTTGAATGTCACTGACTCCCATAAGCCCATACTTAGTGGCACTATTAGGAAGTGTGGCTTTATTATAGTAGGTATGGCCTTGTTGGAGGAAGTGTGTCACTGTGGGGGTGAGCGTCATTGCCATCCTTTTGTAGTTCTGTGGTTGAACTTTGGACGTCACACATAGAGGTAAATATTCTATCACTGAGCTATATCACTAGCACTGAAGTATTACTTTTATAAGCAATCAGATCCAGACATCATATTCCATTGCTGAGTCTCTCACACATCTTTGTAATTGTACTTCTCAGTTTCATTTTTAATTTTGATGTGTAGCATTCTCAGAATCACAAATGATAAAAGCTCAGTTGAAGACATGATTATCTGGGAGAAAAAGTGACAATAGCAGTTCTTCTTAGTTTATTTTCTTCTAGTTAGTCTTGGAAAGGTGGGTAGATTGTAAAGAAGTTCTTATCTATGCTTCCATCATTTTCCTTCCTCCTTCCCTCCTTCTCTTTTACCTTTTCTTTGCTGCCTGCCTTTCTATATTCACTTTTTCTTTTTATTATTTTTGAGAAAGAACATAGACTTGGGCCCAAGGAGTGAAAGTGAAGGCTGAATTTTAAGAGTCATGTAAATATGACTGTTTGCTTAGTCCTTCTATTCTTTGGTTCCATCCTTGATGTATTAAAAAAAAAAGAACGTTTTTTAGCTTCATATTATGTGAAATAGGTGAATAACTGTAGAAACCTTCTCATAACAATATATATATAACAACAGTTCATCAACGGGATGTTTGGTAACCTTATCTAAAATATAGTTCTGTAATATACAATCTTCACATACTCTGGTACCCGGAGCCAGATCAGGAACAAAGACAGTAGCAGCCACAGCAGCAGCAAACAACAAGAAGTATTTCACCATCATTCCTGGAAAGATAAATAAAAGATATTTAGATTATTCTCAGGATTTGTAACAGTATTTTCTAAGAAAACTTGAACCACTCTTAAACCACTTTATACACATTGCTTGTTTTTTTTTGAATTAGACTTGAGGAAAAAAATCTTAATGTTATATCTTAGCCTAGGAGACTACTCAAAAAATAATACACAACGGATTTGAATGATATGGAGTCAAACATGTAAACTTCTTAACTCCCAGACTCTGAATATGGTCAACTCTGTGTTAATAGGCAATTAAGGTAGCAGATGGGATTTGGGTTGCTAATCAACAAACTGAAGAAATTATCCCATGTTGTATTCATTTGTTAAATTAATCCCAGAGGTGCTTAATTGTAAAAGGAAAAAGTCACGAGACAACTTTAGTAGCAGAGCACAAGATGAGTTTATCAGTCATACCTTGTTTGGAAGACCACACAGGAGGGAGGTGATCCTGCTACTACTAATGTGTGTGTGTAATTTAAAGATATTCTGTACAAGTCTGTCACTTTGCTAAGGATACTGGTCTTTGTGCCTTAAATCAGTATGAATGGATCTCTACTCTGATCTGATACAGAGAATTAATTCTAAGATATGATGCATACATGTTTTAAGAGTGTGATGACACTTTTTTCTTGCAACCAATTAAATTTATTTCTGAAAACATACTATTTATCTTTTACAGAAATTTCTATTTCTGAAAAGCAACTTCACCAATTTTTGAAGAATTAAATGGTAAAGAAGAGCATTTATTCCAGTCACATAGTTGTTCAGTCATTGCTCTCAGATGTCCCATGTCCACCAAAAGCATGCTTAATTGAGCAATGCCATAAAAAAATAAAATAAAAAAAATCTAATCTTTTTCTGCCTTTTCATCCACCCCACTTCCTTGATCTCTATTTTCTCCAAAGTTTAATACATCCTCACAATCAACCATGTACACATAAGAAGACTTGGGGACCCACAAGACAAAAGGAAGGCCTATAACAATTAACTCAGAAGATACTCAGACCAGGCCAGTGAGACAACGCAACACATATGCTAAGAAGAGGCCAGCCATTCTATTATCTTTTAGTGCCAACCAGCTCCACCACAAACAGCTGCTTCTTATCTGAACAGAACAGGAGATCAGCCCGTACCTTGCACTGTAACATCTTACTGTTCCACTCTTACTCCCATTCTCACTCTATCTCTGGCCCTCCTTTTCTTTCCTTTTCTCTTCCTTCCTTCCTTTTTCATGTTTCCCCTTTTCCATGCCCATTCATCTTAGTGTTACATCCCCCAAGACCTAAAGACAGACTGGATTTGTGACATCTAATACACATCTTTCTCTCCTCTCTTTATTTTGTCATTAATACAAATCTCCAAGATATCCACCCCATATTTTCTTTCCTTCTATTATTCCTTTGTCCATGAACGCCCCTTTCCTCTGCTTCCCATCTGACAGTCTGACACTAGTGACTCTTCACCCATCCTGTGCTTCTCTACTCATACCTGTAACAATTAACCTGATAATATACACAATGGCCCTTTATTCCTTAAATCAATTAGTACTTAACAGATATTTCTTTTATAGTTACCTGCTAGTCTATTGTCAGAATGTACTAGTGTCTAGATTGTAACTGCTGGTGCACTCAGCCCACAGAAACAGACTGGAGATAGAGCATGGTGTCTAGAACACTAAAAAAAAGGGACAAAAAAAACCCCACCACCACAACTTCACTGTAATGACGGTCTACTGAAAACTGCAAACACATGTACTTAAACAAAAGGAGCAGACTGAATCAAAAGAAACAACCAAAATCTTTAACTGACATCTAACCCATATGGGCAGATTTTGAGCACAGACTGTAACAATCTGCTACCTTGTCTCATAACTCAAATGAGAAGGCATATCATATTCTATAAATTGTCTTTAATTAACAATGAGATGGTGTTGGGAAACATATATTCTCACATAGTGATTAACGGAAGCATATGTATGCATGAATGCTCAGGTAAGCATTTCAGATACAAAGAAAGCTGTCACAAATGGATGAAAACAATTGTTTCATGCAACATGCATGAGGGATTGAACACTATGGGATAAACCCGTGAAAAACAGACATAAACCACAAATACACTTACCCTGACATCTTGAAAGTGATTATGGGATGACTAGTTTCTCTTAGGATTTTAGTTACTTTAGTATATTTAGCTCATACCCAGAAGTTTAGATTAGCAAAGATTAAGGTAACTGGACTGAAAGAAGAAAACCTGCTATGAAAGACATCTCATACCCCAACGTCCACTTTGGCTTTAGCGTTGTGGACAGGCAGAACGTCTCCATTCATACTAATATTCCTTAGAGATTTGAAAGTACAAAGTCAGTAAGTTGGTTAAAGCTCAAATAGTGCTTGAAATGACTAAGTTCAAACAGGAAGATACTATTTGATATGCAAGCATCAGCGGTGCATTAAGGATTTTAGGATGAAAATGGAACCCAAGGATTGCTGTTAGTCAAGGTATGAGCATAAGGGATTGCAGACTCTGGTCTCTTGGGCTGTGCTTGTCGACACAACTCAAAATCAGGAGTCAATGGAGAGAGTGAAGGAGTGGAAAGCGGCAGACAAAAGCTTGAGGTTTCTGCAGCAAGCAAAGCCTGACATCAGCAAGGATGCTGACCTAAAGAGGGGATCAGAGAGCATGACGGAATGAGGCTTGGAGGAGGAAATGGTCTCAGGACTGAGCCTTGTTCACAGAATCACTGGGACATAATGAAACCCACAGACTAGTCACGGCTGAACATCCAGTGTGTGTTGAGAGATCCTTCAAACCTCAAAACCATGTTGACCTTTCATCTGAGATGCCAGTTAGTTGTCTGAACTCAGATAAAACAGAGACAAAGGAGAAAAAAAACTCAGCAGTTCCCTTTGAATCATTTATTTTACTCCAAACATGCAACTTTCAGTCAATACTCTTAAAAAATAAATAATAATACCTCAGTCTTGAGAAACTGGTTATATAAACTTATTTTCCAAACTTTCAGCTTGGACAGATGGTTCACACGAACAATTAAAAGTTAATATTTCGTGGGAGGAAAGATTAAGGATGTGGGAAAAGGTTGAGGAAGATCAAGCAGTGCCCTGTGGTAAGCCTTTGGAACAGTTTTCCCGTCCAGGAATTGTTAGACCATGACCTTTCCTAGTGAATGTTAATGGAGAACAAGCTCTTCCTTGCCTTGGCTCAATAACCAAACTGCCTACATTTCACATTTGATCTTCTTTTCCACGGTGAATATGTTAACCTCTGCAGTAGTCAACAGACTACTGGAATGCAATCAAATCTCCGGGGTCCAATGATCACTTTGTGTGTATGTGTACAAACGTATTACCTCTAGAGCAATCAATGCAAACATTGAGTCTTTCCAATACCCATGTACGTCCCTCACACCTCATTTAATCTATAGCCCCCAAATAAAAGAGCATCTTGATTTTCATGGCTATAGGTGGTACTGGTCAATATAATCAATATAAGCTTTCTGCTGCTGACATAAATATATAAAATATTTCAGTGCTAGTTTCTACACCTACTGTTAAGCTTATGTAAATCATTCATGGTGCATATGAGGAAGTTTGTGCTTGTTAATAGTTATGCAGATGTCCACAATCTATCTATCATAAAAGGATATATATGTGTATATATATACATGTACATATATATGTATATATATGTATATATATATACACATATATATCCTTTTTGTTATTCACAGACTTTGATATATTTCAGTTAGGATTTTAACAATAGTGTTTATGAACATGCTATTCATATATGTTTTGGTATAAACTATATTCCCTTTTTAGAGCTGTACTGTCTACCTTAGACAGAAACTATTGGGCTATTGAAATACTTGTGTTTTCCTTTAGGAAATTTAAATGATTTTCCAGAGTAGTTCAATTTTTAACAAATTCATGCTTTTCAAAAGAGCCATCCATGCATCTTGTCCTCACCCTCTATTTGTACTTGCTACTTTAAAGCTTTTGTTATTATCTTTTATTTTACATATTGATGTATCATTAAAATTTTAACTTATATTTATCCTGTCAATAATAATACTGAGTACATTTAATGTTTTAGCAGACATTAGGTACTGTCTTTTGTTTAGTCTTTGCTCAATATTTTGTCTGTTGTTATAATTACCTGATTATACTTTTCTTTTTGTTTTGTGTGAATTATCTATGTTCTTTGAAAGTTTTCAAAATAGATCACAGTTTTTTTTTATTCGTTTTTTGAGAATTTCATGCACCGTATTTTGATCACATTTACCTCCTTTCCCAACTTCTCCCATATTTTTGTTTTGATTGTTTGTATTTAATTTCATAAAATATGATTTGTGTTGCCATTCTTGGATCAGAGATCACATCCTTAAAAAAGACTGACTGTGCCTTTTCAGCAGCCATCACTGGCCAACAGTGCCTCAACAATGAATGGGCCTTTGTGCCCACTTTCTGTGTCCATAATGGGATTTTGTCTGCCTTGGATTTGCTGCTAATACCTAAGACTGTGCAGTCTGTTACAGTCGTTGTAATTTCATATCTACAATCACTCTGCTGTATTCTGAAAACAATATTCTTGTAGTCACCCAATGCTCCTGGTTCTTATAATTATTTCACCTACTTCAGTGATCTCTAAGCCTTAGAAAGAGGACATGTGGTATAGATGCCCATTTTAAAGCGGTATATTTTATTTAACTAAAGTTTTAAAAGTAGATGTCTAGTTTTGTTTTCACTTATTATAGCTAATGCTGTGTTTGTGTATCTCTGTGTATATGAGTGTTTGATAATTGCTGGTTATCTGAGTAGACAAATCATGAAAGTATTTTTCCTCTGGACAGTGATTCATCTTTGATAATATTGAAGAATAGGAAAACTTGAAATCTTATCCTTATAGATATTAAAGCATATTAAAATGTGGCAAAATGGGGCGTGGAGGACATTGGTGACATAAGA